CCCAGCCCCACAAATTATGTCCCCCTCGCGGAGACGGTCTAATGCGACAGGGCGACACACTTAAACCTACTACACCTACTGTACCCTTTTATCGATCTGCTGTGCCAGCCAGCAAGCCCGATACACACCCCTCCCCCGCCCACCCTAACCCCGCCCCTACGGCTAATCAATAAGGGACCATACGAGAGGAGAGAAGCGTGGCCCAAGCTTTGATCAGTTGACGACAGAAACAAGTAAACACAGGTTTTTGACCCAGCGACGTGACTTGACGCGGCACTGGCCTGATCTGGTCGGGAGGACAGCCTGCAGTGTGTCGTTTGTGTAGAATGTGTGGAGGTAGACAAGTCAAGATCCTGGACCTAAAAATACAGTTTACAGGTTGCTGTGAGGTTCTGTCGTTGAGGAAACATTAGCTGAGAGAACAACTGGTACTATAAGTTTTTGTGAGTACATTACACAAATTATTAATACTTGGTTTTCACTTCTCCGTTAGATACGTTTCTTTGGATTACTTGTGTTTTGTTGATTGGAATTTTATTAACATTCGCCTTTTTTATAAATGTGACAACTCTTTGTGAATCAATATAAGTAATATTACTGAGTGGAACTTGGCTTTTCTAATACATGGTATAGTTGTGCTGCTACAGTGTAAAGTAATTGACAGTAAGGTCCAGCAGAAGGTTTTCCTACTGGCTAGAAATCAATGTCCTATTATGAGTTCAAACATTCCTCCCTCTAAACTTATTGTCATTTTGCCACATCCGTTTTATGAAAATGGAGGAGGATCATTAAAATTTGCTGTTTGTTGATTGTTTAGAGAGAATGTGATTTTTTTTTTTTTTATGTTTTTGCTCTTTTGCTGTTTTTATTTGGGTTGGGGGGGTGTTGTATTATGAAGAGGTCTGGTTGTTTTTTGGTTGGTTTGATTGGATTTGTTATTTGTTATTTTGTTTCTTTCGTTGAATTGGAGGGGTGGGAGAGGAAGGAGTGAGGGTGTTCAGTAATATTTTTTTTCTTCATGGGAATAATAATTTAACACTTTGTCATTATCAACTAAATATCTTCCTGCATTAACCTCAATTGTTTGAGACGTTTAACTTTAGCTTCTAGGTTCTCCCAGATCGAGAGGGTTGTCCGCTGTCGCCTGACATCAATTACTCCAGTCACACAATATATAATCTGTAGCCAGCAAGGTTGTCACAAAAGTCTGTTTTTGCACATTTTTCCTGAGTTAAACAAAACGCGGCCTCTATAACGTGAGACGGAAATGTTTGTCGGTTAAATGGTGTTGCACAACACACCAGGCACGGAAATTTGTGACGGAACATTTGGGTGGTATCGGTGTTGCTTGTATAGCTTGTATAAACCTACCTCGTGTGACAAAATTAATTTGGTTCACAAATATCTTCAAAACTGGTGAGCTCAGAGGCGTGGAAGACATTTACACAAACAATGAAAGGCATTAAAAAATGAAATATGTGTCGACAAGTCCACCACAATCAGCTAAAGACATGGCCAATGCTACCTAGAAATCGTTTGGAATCAGTGAAAGCGCTAAAAGGATACATGTAGGCCTACTTGTCTTCTTTCATGCTTAAAGTCGACGAAAACGCTAAAAGTGCTCTAATCTCAAGACTTGAAAGAGTGGAATTTTGTCATCATCACCTCACCTCTTAGCAGACCTCACTTTCTTTCTGCCCACAATACTTCTACCAACTGTACACGTTCCATGGAACACTGGGAAATTCTGCTCTGTGCTTGTTCTTTTTTCTGCCAAACAAGAAGATCGAAACTTAGCCGTGGCTGGTAGCTATGCTCAAATAACTTAGCATGGACAACAGGTTTAATTGAAAAACAAAATGTCGGTGTATCTTTTCAAAAGCCAACAGAAAAGCATACCGTCAGCTCCATGTGGGGTGAGCTTGACACCGCAAACTTCAAGCTATTCTATCACACGTTACTAGTTCTACTTTATCAGTCAGACACTGAAACTGTTCATTGTTGATCTTTGTTCGGTCTTCCAGCTCTCTGTCCAAATAAAGTGCAAAAGAATTTTGCTTCGTGATCATGGCCGAATATCCAGGCACTCGTGATTTCGAGTTAGAAAACTGTGCCCACTATGTACAATATTCTATATTTCTGAGACGGCGAGAGATCCTCTTTCTCTATGAGCATACCTGGAAAGTGCCATCAGAGCAAAAAAATCATTCGAAGGCTTCTCTATTGTCATTTCTCCAAGCATTTTACTTCAGCACATTCAAATTTAAATCAAACTTGAAGACGTACAGCAGAAAATCAGAATCAAAATCAGATCCTCCAACCAAAAGTGCAGTGTCCCTGCTAAAGTATAGCGCGAACGCGAGAGACTGGGACAAGAGTTGATTCATTTACACCGGCAGAACAGACTGTCATGCTGAGTTTGTTGCGAAAATAGCATACAAGATGTTGCCAGTTCAAGTTTGATCCACCATTTCTGTTGAATGACTTCAAAATCAGTTTTATTCTTTTAAAAAGCCTCTCTGCTGAAAACTCGACTTCCGCCTGTGCATGGTCAGCAGGAGGCATTAGGCAACATGTCCCACAACTGTTTTATATATTGATTTTTTAACCTAAGAATTGTGATAATGTCAGAAAAAACTTGAAAAAAAGCCGAAACAATATCGATACTTGACGAACCGAAGAGGTTTATTGCACATTGAACATAACATTACTCAATCCCCATCTAATACAAAAAGAGAGAATCGATGCCAACCGTAACAACCAGGACAACTTTGCATCAGGCAGTTTCCCTTTAATGATTTCTTCTCTCTCTCTCTCTCTCTCTCTCTCTCTCTCTCTCTCTCTCTCTCTCTCTATCAGGCGCGGTTCGTCCATAGAGCACGGTCGTGCAGTGCCGCCCAAAAAGTTTTAATGTTCTATGACGTAAAGCACCCACAATAATAAAATAAAAGACGCCAGAAACAAACACTAGCCAAATATTAGATCAAAACAAGGCCCTCGCTGGCGCCGTAACTGTCATTTCTATTATATAGCGCCGTAAAACATCTACTATGCCATGCCTAAGTTCATGTGCTATATCTAAACATAACAGGATAGTCAACAGTGGAAATCTGACCTATAAATCGCTCTTTTGGATAACCCAAGCGATGACGACACTTGTAGAGAGTTTGACGGTACATTAATATTAATAAGACGGCACATCTCAAATGTACTCCTGCCGAATAGCGCCGAAACATAGCCCACAGTAGGCAATCTAAAAATAAACGCCATAGACTGTGCACTATTCCATGCCAAAATTATGTGGGCCCCGGAGCAATCCAGCGGAGTGCTCAAATGAATTGTGATTGGTTCATTGTCTTGTCACTATTTTAAGTGACTTTGTGATCGTGAACCTGAGGGAGGTGAACGCGACTTACTTAAGTCGCCGTCCTATCAGTTGTGCTTTTGAACGGTTTTGTAGTGGAGTGGTGAAAGGTATTACTTGAGTGTTCAGTTCTAATGCAGGATGAATGAAATTGACGTTTAGCTAACAAACAGATTTAGTTCTGAAGTCAAAGCCACAAGTAAAAAGAATGAAAATAAAAGCACACGGTCTTCCTTCACCAACCCAAAGATCCTAAAATTATACACCATCCCATTTACTCTGCCCTTGATTATCTTCAGCCTAAGATAGTTTAATTGTGCACGCCCACTTTTTAGACCCACGAGCCGCCCCTGCTCTCTCTCTCTCTCTCTCTCTCTCTCTCTCTCTCTCTCTCTCTCTCTCTCTCTCTCTCTCTCTCTCTCTCTCTCTCTCTCTTTATATATATATATATATCATGATTAAATTCGAGCGCAAATGTCAGCCGTCCTCCATAACTACGTTGCGTATGACTATAAGACTGAGGGTCCTTTCAACACACTACAGCCATTTCCAGTATTGAATTTCGAAAGGGTAAAAATTCTTCATCAATGTTCAAACTCTTTAAGTTCGTGGAAAAGCATCATGTAGATTATGTGTTCTCAACATACGCCGAAGAAGTTGGGGTTGGGGGGGAGGGGTGAAGTTAATTGAACAAACTTGATAAATGAATTATAGGTATGGCAAAGACAAGGTATATTAACCTCCAACTAGAAAACTGCGTTCTTCAATCAAGATATTGATCTTTATGTCTGTCAATAGGCAATACACCGAGACATAACGGACGCATATCGATTATCGATCTCTATTCATTTTCTGCCGATAGAACTCACTATCGACTTCTTTATATCCAGCCGTCAGACTGATCGAATGATCACCTGCTGTTTGTTCCGATACTTTTTAGTTGTGTTGCTATTCTTGTTTCTTTACTTGGTTTTGTTGGGGCTGGGGGGGGGGGGTTGGTTTGGGGGTTGTTTGTTGTTGGGTTGGGTTGGGGTTTTTTTGTCATTAGGCCTTCTTATCTGCTCTTGATCTTTACCGAATGTCTTAGCCGTATTTGCATGTACTTCTCTTCCAGTCATTTTATTTATTTGATGTGTTTACATAGAGAGAAGGGGCGGTGTTATTGCTGCCATGTACATCTCTTTAAATACAACATTTAAAAGCTAATGTAACTTACAAATATCAATTATTATTCTCTGGCGAAGAGAAACCGCTGCATACGTAGGTATAGCTTAGAACTGTAGGGAAAAAAACGTGTATGGGTTTTGTTGACGAGCAAGTCTAGTTCTGCTGAATCATCCAAAGTACCTGATCGGGCAGAGTTGAGCTGAGATATTCTTGGGAAGTTGAAAAAAATATGTAGGCCGGCTCGGATTGGAGCCTCCAACTGCTGCGTGTTTGTCAAGGCAACAAGTTTACAACTCACCTGAGCTGCTGTGGTCGACAACCACTGGGCAAATTAAGAGACACCACACTGCAAAACAAATCGCAGAAAGCAACAAAAACAAGATTGGATGAATAGGTCAGCCTTTGGAAAGACAGGCAGAGCAGTTTCCAAAGCTATGACTACCACAAAAGAAAATGACAGTACCAACCGCCTTCACAGAGAAGAAAAGACCACGATCTTCAGCCTTTGAAAACAACATACATGTAGCCTACATGCGTATGAAACATGTAAAACTTCAACTTCCATTTAAACGCAGTGACATCAAAACTACACCAGTGTATCTTTTGTATGACTACACATAATATGTGATATTGTGTTCCACTGCTGTTTGTACCGGTGCTCAGTCCTAGATGACACCAGTCACGCCTCTCCCTTGGAAACGTATCACTGACAACAAATGTAGGCCTATGGAACATCACAGCAACTGCAGCAAAACTGTATTAATCACTACATGGGATTGAACAGAAGAGCAGAGGGTTAGATGTTAAAAGTGTTTGCCTCTCATTCAATAGGTCCCGGGTTCGAACTCAGAAAGCGACGGAAAATTTTCTTCTCTGAAATGCTCTCCTTTCACATCCTTTCCTGCTGCTTTC